GAGTCGCCTTAAGGACCCCCTGCCCACTCCGTGTGCTTGCCTTTCCTTTGCACCAGGTGAACACGGAGACGCTGTACACCCAGTTTGTGCATCTGGGCAACCTGCCAGATGAGGGCTACTCCGAGCTTGAAATCCTTTGCGTTGGCCTTCGCTTTGGACGAGTGGATCATTACATGGTGATAACCAACAAGAACAAGGTGACCCTTCCTTTCTACAAGGCAGAGCCCAATATCTATCTGTAGGAGAAAGGGTGGCAGAACCCGCGAGAGGCGGAGTGAAGAGGGGAGTCGGCCTAGAATCCTATGTAGCCATAAGCAGTCTTAAGTCCAACCCCACCCCCTCCAATTCCATTGACACGTATCTGACTCCAAGCAGGCACCAACCATGAGTTGAGAAGATTTCCAGTGTACAAGGGCTCTTAGCAACAAATATGCACCGGCCAGCTCTTTTGTGCCTGGCAATCGCGGAGCTCGCCCTTACACAATACCCTAACTTCTTAACAATCTGAATTAAGCCCACAATTTCCATGGCTGCTAAGCAAGACAAGTTGTTCAGTGAGGTTTGCCCCATTTTACGACCTTTCTTGCCACGGTTGTAAAGCAAATCACAATCATTGTTAAGTTAGCCCCACGGTTGGGAAGTGAATCTGGCTTCTCCTGTGGACTTTGCTTTTCAAAAGGAGATCACACGACCCCCCCCAGGACACTGTCACCACCATAAATACAAGCGTCCACATTTTGATCACCTGACCCCCAAGGATGCTAACAATCATCGTAAGTGTGAAAAGGGGCTCATAAGCCACTTTTTTCAGTGTTGTTACGACTTCCAACGGTCACTAAATGAATGGTTGTACGTCTAGGACTAACTCCCTCGGCTTCAAGGAATGCTCCTCATCAGGTTGTATTTAAATTTTTTTAAAAAAAGTTGGAAAAACTGCGCTGGTCTTTATAAGAGCCGTATCAGGCCCACGCAAAGCCTTCCTTTCCAGATGTGGAAGGCTGTCGCCCCCTTCAAGATTCCCTTGGGAGAAATGCAGCCTTTGCTACAAGTTCAGGTCCTTCTGTGTTGATTTTCTGCCCCTTTGAATTTTTGAAGGCCATTTTCCAGCTGAACAGTGCCGAGTCCGCGGCGTCCATGTGTCGCTTCTTAAAAAAGTATCCTTACAGTTTGGGAGAAGTGGAATTGACCGTCTCACGCTCGCCCAGAATAGAACCTACAGCTGTAAGTCATCTTCATCTATTTTGGCCTCTTTATCTCGGATTAGTTTGCAGCCGTACCAATTCAGGATGACTCCGAATACAGAGAAAGTTTGTAATTTTTAACGTCAACGTGTTGGTGTATAGGTGTTAGGTGTTTTGTTCTTGTTGCCACGTGAAGGATGGTTGAGGAACAGCTGGCTGGAAATTTGCCGTCTGGGCAGGGTTGCAAGTGAGGGTAGAATGGAATGTAGCTTGCAGAATTTATAACCCGGATTCGTTAACCAATGTACAGTGGTTTTCCAGCTTTTTCCATTTAGGCAGTCGCGTTGTTATACTGTTCCTTGCATATCAAAAAGCTGAATTTTTTTTTAACAGGCTGATGCTGTAAAAAAAGAAACGAAAAAGCAAGAAGCAGGCCAAGAGAGGTATTTTTTCATTGATATCCAAAGTGTGCGTGTATTTGTGTGTGTGGGGTGGGGGATGGGTAGGTGTGGGGATGGGATGGGAGAGATTTAAATTATGATTGAATAAAACAAACAGAAGTCTCATTTATTTTCCTTTTTGTGCTAAGCCTTGAATTCTGGCTTTTTAGAAGCGATCCCCTGCACTTCCCTTATTCCATTGCCTCATTCTGGACCTGGCATGAATCTACAGCGGTTGAAAGAATAAATGGGTTTTTCAATGCATGCAAGTAGTTCTATGTGTCCGTCTCAGTTGTCTTTTTTCCTGGGACACAGGTGAGCCTGAGAAGTGACACCATCACCTGTTGTTGTGGGTATCCGACCTACATTTTTTGAATGCCGGTGCTTTTTAAATCCTAGTGCCCTGTCACACCTTCCGCTAACGTGATTTGTTTTTTTAAGTTGGTTGACTTGGGACCTGGGATATGTGACTTTATCAAGCCATTTGAATTCAGCTAAATTGCATTCAGAGGTTGAAACACTACAAACCATGGAGAGGTAACACAAAGTTCAAATAGTCGCATTGGGACTTCATTTATATATTTATAAATAGACCAGTAAGGGGACAAAGATATTTTAATGCACAATAAAGGGGCATTTTCCTTTCAAAATGTCTTTTGTAACCCCAAACCCATCTCTTCCCTAGCTTACTCTAGATACATAAATATAATTTGCCTATCTCTATACATTGTAGATACACATTTAAAATAAATGTACTTCAGGCAACCAGAACCTTTGAAACGATATCTGTAGTGTTCGCTAACTATATAATGATGTAGACTTGGAGCAGGTTCTGTGTATTTTATTTTACTACAACTAATAAAATACTGTTTTTAGAGTACTTCTGCACATCCAGCCTCTTGAGTTGTTGATGGTCACTGCACGTTGCCTATGGAGAGCACTGTGGTCTCTTTTTCTGTAAAAGTTGGGTCTTGGTATTTCCCATCAAAAAATGTTTGAATTTCTGGGTTAAACCGGGGGGCAGCTACATCCATGGTGGCTCTTCATAAACAGCTTCATGTTTTATTGTCTTTTCCTGCCTGTTCGGTCAAAGGGAGGGAACAGTACGGCTATTAGGTACTCAAAGCTGTTACTTTCTAAACTTTTTTTTACAGGCATTTCAATTTAAAATGGAAGAACCTTCGTGTTCGCTTACAAAGCAGGGGTGTCCAACCTTGGCAACTTGAAGACCTGTGGACTTCAACTGCCAGAATTCCCCAGCCAGCTTTGCTAAGTTGCTGAGGTTGGGCACCCTGTTGTAAATGGTGCTTCTGACACTGATGAGAGATGAAAGCAAGAAACTCTTTGAAGCTATGGAAAGCAGAAAGAAAGCTTAATATTTTTTTTTTTTGCCTTGTTCTTATCAATAGTGTTTTGGGAAACCTCGGAGAACCATATTTATGGCTTTGCAGTCAATCAGGCATGCTTGATGAAAGCTTTCCAGCATTTACCAGCAATTACAATGGGTGATGCAAATGTGAGCAGGTTCTCTTCTTGATGAGGGCAGCTGTCCTGAATATTTTTTTCTGCCCCATCTCTCTCTTGACATTTTTCCAGCAAATTTCCTTCCCTCAGCCCCCCCCCCCCCATCCCAAAGAGAAAGCAGAACAAAATAACCGAATGCAAAGTGGAGAAGAAGAACTGGAGGCTTTTAAGAAGAGACCGGGACAGCCACTTGTCTGAAATGGTAGAGGGTCTCCTGCTTGAGCAAGGGTGGGGTTGGACTAGAAGACCTCAAGGTCCCTTCCAATTCTCTTATTCTGTTCAGTTGGATGCTGCCCTTTGACTTCTGAACAGCTTGGCCTTTCATTGCTCTCTGGATTGTCCTTTTCATTCAGTTCCTCAATAGTCCAAAGAAGAGGGGGGCTGCCTTAGTGTCAGAACACGACTGCGGAATAAACTCTTTAACGCTCCCTGAAATCAAGAGGAACTTCCTGCAACTTTTATTTTTATTTCCCGATTTTTCCATAACTCTTCAACATATTTCCTTTATTGCTTATGCATCTTAGTTTTGTTATACTTTGCTTTATCAAATGATTTTGGATTTGTGAGGCATCCAAACCACCAAGTTGTTTTTTTCTTGACTTAAAATAGCATTCTTCTGCTCCCAAGCGAACTATGTCCAATCCCTACATTCCTTGAAAGCCATTTGAAATATTCTCGGTAGGTGGCTTATGAATAATAACCCTCCTTGGTTAAGGAGATTGAATGGCCTCGAACAGCTTCTTCAGCCCTTTCCCAGCAGAAAAGAAATTCAGCGTAATTTGCTTTATTGGTGAAAAGCAAAAAATAAAAAAAAACAAGGGGGCGGAGAGGGATTTTACACTCATCCTTGGAAATCTTTGGTTTAGAAACCTGCTTTTGCAGGAGTGCTATTTATCAATTCGTATTTTGCAGTCCCTTTCCAACTATATTATGTAAGATACTAGTTTGGGAAGGGAATCTCTCAGGATTGAACAATATGCCTATAATATTGGTAGCGTTGAATGAAGGATCACAGCTCCAAAGGCCGAAGAGATTTTTGATTCAACTTTGGAATCTCATCCAGAACAAAAACAGCCTGACTTCTCCTCTTTACTCCATCTTCTTTGCTGGCTGCTGGAAAAGCCAGACCTCTTTTGAAAGGGCAGAGTTTTGCAGTCTGTGTTAGTGACCAAACGTTGATCTTCTAAAATTGGCCCTGTTTTGCAGGGTTCTGCCCTCTTACCATTTTTTGCAGAAGATCACAAGAACCTTTCCCGCGATGACAAAAGTCCTATGAAGTTTGCAATCAGTTCATGCCTGCTTCTCTTACTGATTCTGAGGACAACTGAGGGTTTGGGGGTGGTGGTTTCTTTTTCTTTTTTTTTGCACAGCTGTCTGCTATTCTGTGTGGTTTGTGTTTCTTGTGCCGACCCTACAAATGACAATTCCTGTCCATGATCCAATTTCGAGGTCTTGTCATCTATTGTAGTGATATTGAGACTCCAGCCCCCTTTTCTAAATAATCTACACTCTCCTTGGAACGATGAGATAATGGCAGAGGATTGTCCCAAAGGGGGGGATGGAGGAATGGAAGATCTCCGTGGAGATTTTCAGAGAAAAGGAAAATAGTTGGAAAGCGAATAAACAAAACAGACTCTCAGCCAAGGCTGTTGAAACTGCTTATATTTTTGAAAATGTTCCTCTGTAGTAGTATCCCATACATTTGTCTTATAATTCAGTTTTCCTTGGGAGCTGTTAGGCACTTGGGATCCCCTCGAGGTTAACCTTTTGCATGTGGATATTTCCGTTCCCCTTGGAAGTGTCCTCACTCATTTTGGCTGCTTAGGGACAGGCAGCCTGCAGGCAGCCTCTGGACAAACTATTAACATTTCTGTTCTCAGTTGAAATAACTCATTCACAACCCAAGCACAAGTTCTCTGTAGTTGTATGGTTTTTTTTTTCCTTTCCCCTGCCTTAAGTTCTAATCTTCTCAGCTCCGGGGTCAACAGGGCATCTGTGTAGTGAGCTTCGAAGGACTCCTTTAGGGTTGCCTGCCATAAGGATAGCCAAGTTAGAAGCGTTCACACACGCTTAAACCGAGGTTAGTAGAATAAGTTAGATCTCCCCATCCTAAGCCATTACTGCTTCAGGAGATCCCAGCCATTGGCATCAAGAGGTAATTGATAACTGTGGCGTTCTCAACATAGCTTGATTTGTTCTGTTTTTTTAAATACATTTAGCCCTGACTTGAAAACAATTCCCGAAGGATCAGGAGTGGTGGCCCCATCTGCTGTTCCTCCCACGGAGGCCACGGAAGACCACGCTTCCAATTCGGATGCTATTCCAGACACAGAGACTGAGCACTTGGGTAGCGAGAAGATGGTAGGGGAAGCAGCTTCGCAGCCCCTGAAGATCGAAGACTTGGGAGAAGACTCGGAAGCGTTAAAAAAAGACTTTGGGCTTGGAGCGCCAAGCGCAGGCCAGGATTTCGAGTCTTCAGACACGAAACCCAAAGGAGCCTCCGCTTTGTCCTCCGCTCTGAAAAAGGAAGAAAAAAAGACTGATCATTCTGGCCAGGAATTGCCGAGAAAGGCCTCTCCGCCTGACGGAGAGAAGGCAAAGGAAGAAAAAGCTCCTGGGAAAGAAGAATTTCACGGTGCCTCAAAAGAAGAAACCCTCTCGGCCTCAGCCACGGAAGAAGAGAAAAGGGCAGGCTTAGGGCCGGGCTCTACAGAAGCTGCCCTGCAGGAAATGCCAAGTACTGACACTCTGTCCGGTAACAGGTTGGCCTCCCTGGAAGCAGATAATGCTGAAACCACCGTAGGCTTAGCAGAGACACCGGCTCCCAGGGTTCAGGTGAAAATGGAGGAAGACTTGGAGGGCCCCTCTGCCACCTCTCAAGCGAGTGCGGAGGTAGCAGCCAAGCCAGCAGCGGTGGAAACGAAGGCAAGCGTCAAGGAAAAGTCTCGTCTGCAGATGGCCAGGGTTGAGGTGATTCTGGAGAAGCTCCCAAAAGACTTGGTCTCAAGCACCAAAGAAGTCAAACTGGAAGGGACCCCAGAAAAGAACGCCAAGGTACAGAACCCCGAGGAAATTGTGCCGAAGACACTACAGGGTAAAGGGCTGGGACAAGCCGAAGCCGGGGAATCCTGCAAAGTGAGCGCGCTGGAGGCAGAGACTGCAGCCAGTGCACAGGTCACTCCTGTCCCGAAGGCTTTGAACCCACCCAAGACGAGAGCTTCAGCTCGAAGGAAAGAGAAGAAGCCAGTCAGCAAGAGCCAAGGAGTGGCTGCGAAGACACCGGTGCCAAAACCGACGAGTCAGCAAAGGCCTGCAAACGGCCGGTCCAACATCCCAGATAGCGCCAAGTCTAAGCTAAACATGAGTTCGCTGGCGGTAGTTGTGTTAGGCGGTGGGAAGAGCTCCTCGCAGCAAGACAAGGACCCCCCGGCGGAGACCAAGGGGAGTCCAAAGCAGAGCCGAGAGCAAGACAGTAGACCTTCCAACCTCAAGCGGGATACCGGCGGCAATAAGGTGAGGAGGGGATTAAAGCACTGGCTTGGTCCCTAACCTTGAGGCTTCTTCCAGTCCTTGAGCGAGTCCCCGTCCCCTCCCTGTACGCGGCTGCTGCACTTGGCACCACCAAACCGGTTCGGTGCCACGCAGCATCGGTTGGGAGGTGCGTCTGGAAGCAGCTTAACCTGGATGCGTTTGGCGGAAGGGAGGAAAGAGCCGGCTCTTCGCGATGCAAATTTCCAAACGGACACACAGTGTTCGTTCTTTCCATTGGCGGCTCCTGAGATTCTCCCGTTGTGAGGTGCGGCTTCTCGTACGGCATCCCGGCTGCTTTTGCGTAGACTCGATCCTGAAGTCAGATAAGTTACCCATAAAAATCACTGGTGCGCTGAATACTCAGGTCTTAAAAACAATTGGCACAGTCTCAACTTGTAGCGTGTTAAGAATGCCATTTCTTTGAGGATTAATTGTGCTTACGAGGCCGCTGTTTTCCTTGCTCACCATCTTCCCACTTTCTCCTCCCCAGGTGTCTGCTGAGAGGAATACCAGAAGTTCTAAAAGCAGCCCTAAAGCCAAAGAGGTAAGCCAGCCAATTAACAGGGTTCCTATAACCCAGGAGAATGGTACACGGGGAAGACTTTAGGCTGGGGGACTCCCAACTTGACATCTTTAAGACTGGTGGACTTCGACTCTTAGCTGTCGTTTTTTAAGGAGTGACTGACTTTGTGCCTAAACTTTTCCCCAAACTGAATCCAAATTTTTACCCAGTCCTAATACTTTAATGAGCCTTCTTCCTGTTAACTTCACTAGGGAAGTGAAGTGATACTTTCTAGGGAAAATATTTTTTGCTGAAAAGTGAATTGTTGCAGTTGATGGAAGTGACTTAGGCGTGTGTGTGTGTGTATGTGTGTATATAGATAGGTAGGTACATAGATACCGAAATTGACTCCAAAAAGGCAAGCCAGCTGCTTTTCTGCTTCTTTGAACCTATGAAAGATCCCCTTCATTCCAGATTGCCCTCTAAAGCAAGGATGGGCAGCTATGGCAACTCTATACCCTGTGGAATTATGGGAGTTGAAGTCCACAGGTTGTAAAGTCCTGATACTCGCCCGCTCCTGTTCTAAAGCATACTCTGACTCTTGTGTTGCCTGCATGCTTTCTTTTTTTTTTTTCTGATACCTGCCACAATGACGCGTGTGCCTTTACGTCATTTACAAATCGATTGGTGTAAAACCAGGGGGGGGTTGTTGTTGTTTTTTCTTTCTCCCTTTTTCTAGGATGAGGAGCTTTTTCCATTTAATTTGGATGAGTTTGTGACCATGGATGAAGTTGTTGATGAAGTGGAGGCCCCTCAGCCTAGGAAGAACCCTGTAAGGGGCAAAAGGAAGGACCCCCCAAAGAAAAACCTTCCCTGCGAACCAACCTCCAAGAAGAAGAAAGGCAAGGGGCAGGACGGCCCCACAGCCGAGAGCGAGGTCTCCTTCGTGACCTTGGATGAAATTGGGGAAGACGAGGGTGGGATGGGCCAAGCGGACCTTCTGAGCTTGGAAGCCATGACCGATGACGCCCAGGGACTGGTCACGGTCGATGAAGTCAACGAAGAGGAAGAACTGATCAACGAAGATATGAAAGATCCACAGTCGCTGGTCACTTTGGACGAGATCTCCGAGCAAGAGGACGTCACTCTCCAGGCGACGGCCAAGGGACCTTTTACTCCAGGGGAGAGCGAGCCGGATCTGAAAACGGAGCGCTTAGTGACGGTGGATGAGATCGGAGAGGTGGAAGAGCTTCCCTTGAACCAGCTCTCCCATTTCAAGGAGGAGGAGATGCTCCGAGGCAAGGAAAATGAGAAAGGAGGGGTTGAAGACGCCGGGGATTTTCTCTCTTCCCAGATCCCAGAGGATCCCAGCGTTTTAGTCACGGTGGACGAGATTCACGAAGACAGCGACGAGCAGCCCTTGATGACGTTAGACGAAGTGACCGAAGACGACGAAGATTTCCTGGAAGACTTCAACCGCCTGAAGGAAGAGTTTAGCTTTGTCACCGTCGACGAGGTGGGCAGCGAAGAGGAGGAGGAAGAAAAACCCGGCACGTCCACCAGCCGAAATTCGGAAGGAGCGATCAAAACAGCACCGGGGGAAAAAGCCAATGAGAAGATCCAGTCTTCTGCGGAACCAGACAACTTTAAAATTCCAGTCAACCCCCCGCCAGAACGGAGGAAAAGCGTTCGGGGTGAACCTCTGGAGGGTGAAGCATCTTCAGCCCAGCCGGGGGGTCCTGAAAATGAGAACCCCGTGGGAGGAGAGGAGGTAGACCTAGATAGGGAGAAGACGGAGCTAGAGTGTAAAGAAAAGGAGGAAGGAAAAGACGTGGAGCAAACAGACACAGTAACTGAGTCCGACTTGGGTTGCCAGCCGCTGCAGAAAGGTAAGAAGCAGATCGGCCTTCGGGGTGGAGAGGCCCTCCAAGAAGCGGCGAAAGCTCGGTGAGGAGCAGGCCGGAAACCTAAAGGTGCCCCTTCTCTCCACAGAGCCAGATGCGAGCCAGAAGGAGCAGCCTTGCAGCAAGGGAAGCGATTCCCAGGAGGACGACCAATCGCTTGGTAAGGGTGCAGGTGAGGGAAGGACCTTCCGGGGGCAAAAGAGCCCTGGTGGCACGGGGTTAGAATGCAGGATTGCAGGCAATAACTCTGCCCCAGTGTCAGGAGTTCAATTCTGAGCGGCTCAAGGTTGACTCAGCCTTCCATCCTTCCAAGGTGGGTAAAATGAGGACCCAGATTGTTGGGGGCAAGAGGCTGACTCTGTAAACCTCTTAGAGAGGGCTGTGAAGCACTGTAAAGCGGCATATAAATCTAACAGCTATTGCTATAGAGAGATGATAGATTAGACAGATTATTTAAGTATGTAGGTATATATGTAGGCAGGTAGATTGGTAGGTAGTCAGGGACAGATTTAGAACCGTGGTGGCACAGCGGTTAGAATGCAGCAGTGCAGGCTAATTCTGCCATCTGCTAGCAGTTCGATCCTGACCAGCTCAAGGTTGACTGAGCCTTCCCTCCTTCCGAGGTTGGTAAAATGACCCAGATTGTTGGGGGCAGGAGGCTGACTAAACCGCTTAGAGAGGGCTCTAAAGCACTGTGAAGTGGTATATAAATCTAAGGGCTATTGCTACTGTAAAGAAACATTGCCGCCCCCCCCTTTTTTGGGGGTGGGTGGATGGGTAGGAATTGGACTCCGTGAAAAAGGCTGTCTAGCTGGGATGTGCCTTACTGGGATTGGTTAATGGCTCAAATAGAAGATCCTGCCTCTTCCCATTGTATACAGGTGGTCCTTACAACAGTTCATTTAGTGACTGGAGTTACGA